CCCCCCCCCCCCCCCCCCGCCTATGTGTTTGACGTGTGGCAGAATTAATTCTCCGCTTAGGCCAGGGGTGAAGAACTAACAGATCTAACTTCAGTTTGTTCCAGCGTCGTTCCTGCAGGGGTTCTATATTGTCCCGTAACATTAAAAGATTCCCTTAATCTAGATTTCCGTCACCTTAGATGCCCAAAGCAAACCCTACGTGCTTAACTGTGCCAACTGAAGAGGAGGAAGAGGTACTGGTTTCCCCATGCTACTCTGTAGTTAATTCCTCCCGTGGGCTCCATTGCTCACACCCTCCTGTCGTTTGTCCCGAAGGTGCTCTTTTTTCAGAAGGCATCTGGATTTTTCTTGGCCTTCCCCCCACCCCTTGAAAACCTTTTGCTCCTCACCCAAAAGCTCCTTCAGCTTCGTTGGAGAGTAGGCCAGTCCTCTCCTCCGTGACATCCCCTCAAGTATTGGAAGACAGCAATGAATGTCCTCCCACCCCAGTGGGAGGATTCTACCAGTTCGCACCTATTCACTAGAACCGGTTGTTAACATTCTAAGCAGTTCGGAGAACCGGTTGTTAGAAGAAATTACTGGCCTAATCCTGTAAGGAAGGCAGGAAGGAAACATTCTGGTGTTGCTTACAGAAACCGCCTCTCCGTTAACCCTTATTACGGTCTTGGCAGGCCTAGACTTCCTGTCTCAGGAACTTCTCTGGAGTTTTTTTCCCCTCCTTTGCTGGTACTTTTGCTTGTGTGGAGTGACCCTTCAAAGTTACAGTGGCCCTGAAAAAAGTGACTTATGACCATTTTTCACACTTAACGACTGTTGCAGCATCCCCACAGTCACAAGAGGCCAGGTGAGGAGATGCGTGCCTCGATGTGAGTGATATTGAGTTGGCCACGCCCAGCCAGTCGCATGACCACCAAGCCATGACCACCAAGACACGCTCACCAACTTAGCCACGCCCACAGATCTCATTGTTAAAAAATTTGAATCCCACCCCAAACCCCGCTCCTTCTCTTCGATAATCTAGACCCAGGGGTGTCAGACTCAAAGCCCGGGGCCTGGATGCGGCCCAGGGGATGCTTAGATCTGGGCCTGCAGGGGCCACCTCAAAAACAGCAAAGGACCAGCCCGTGGAGCCTCTGCCAGCGAAAAGGGAGCACCGGGAGGCTGTGCACAGCCCTCCTGAGCTCACGTTTTCGCTGGCAGAGGACTGCAGGAGGCTGTTGCAACCAAAAACGGACCACGGGTGGGCTGTACAAGGCTTCCCCAAACTCTGTTTTCGCTGGCAGAGGGCTGCAGGAGGCCGTTGTGGCTGAAAACTGAGCCCGGGAGGGCTATTGTGGTCGAAAACGAAGCCCTGGAGTGCCGACATGGCCGAAAACGGAGCCTCGATGAGTGACATTGAGCTGGCCACTCCCACCTGAGGTCAAACCACAGCTGTGATGCGGCCCTGGATGAAAATCAAGTTTTGACACCCCTGATCTAGACCTACCTAGTTCCCTCCACCATTCACCCTATGATTTAGTCTCCGGGCCCCAAATCCACACAGTTCTGTCCAGGTGAGATGGCTTTCCGTTTTCTAACCATCCTCTCTGCCTCCTTGCAGGCCAGCAACTGATGCTGACGGCCGGCCCAAACGGCGTTCCTCCCCAGGCCAACTTTCCGTACGCATACCCGACAGCGCCAGGATTCGGCCAGCCGCCGGTTTATGGATTCAACATGTAACTTGCACTGCGACCGACCTCTTCGCCGGTCATCTCTTCTTCTTCTCTTTCCGTCCCACCTTCCCTTTTATTTTTATTTTCATAAGGTTTTTTTTGGTCGCAGAAGGCACCAGACAACCTTCTCCGTTGGCTTGACCGCCTTCCTGCGCCCTCTGTGGCTCAGAGACCTCTAAAGGACGCTGTTAATTTATTGCTAAGTCCTGTTCCATTTCAAATTTCCACGAGGCGGCTTCCCCTGTCCCGCTCATTTTATTTTTGGTACCGGCCACCTGAAAAGCACTCTCCAGATCGTTGGTGGCATCTCTGCTCCATTAGGACAGCAATAACTTCTTCAGGCCATAGGAGATTTGGGGTTTGGGTGGGAGCAGGGAGAAGATGTCCAGGAAATGAAGAAGGATCTTGCTGTTGCTTTTTTTATTATTATTATTATTTCATCTGCAGAATCTGTTTTTTTGGGGGGGGGGGTTCTTTTGCTAATCCAGTTGTTTCTGGACAGCATCCAGGGGTTAATGCTTACAAAGGTACTCTTAGCAAACGCTGCAGTCGGACGAATAAGGTGGAATTAGCTTTGGGAATTGGGAACTTCCTGGTGGGAGGGACACGTTTTTAAAATCACATGTCACGCTGCTCCCCTTCCACCATTCCTCCTGTCTGTAATACCTGGCCAAAAAAAAAAAAAGGGAATTTAAGTGCGTAGCGTGGGAAAAGAGTCGTAGTTTTGATAGAAGGCCACTGAGAGAGAAAAGTGGGAGGGGTGGGAGAAATGCTTCTATGCTTCTTGGAGTAGTTTTTGAAACTCTTTTGATTGGAGAATAAATTGGATCCTATTTCGCCGCAGGTATTTCCCTGATGTTTTTTTCTGTAGTAGCATAGGGCGAGGACAACAAACGGGGTTAACTGGTATTTAAAACACCCCATCCCACCCCCCAAAAAACAAATGCAACTACCAGGGTTTGCAAGCCAACATCGGCGTATCCGTGTTCCTGGCTGAGTTATAAACGTTAGAACAAAGGCCTGGATCAACCAGGATCACACCGACGCTAAGGAGAATTCTAGCAAAAGTGTTAAGATTTTGCTTATTCATATCTCAACCCTGAAAACTTCTCTTCTGGTTGTATTTGAACAGAGCCTTTAAGCCTTTCGGGCATCCTGAACTGACCCCAGAAAGTCAATTTTTTATTATTATTTTTTTCCGGCTTTGCCAGAATTCTGTCCGATGAAGCCACCTGCATTTCTTGCATTCTTCTCCCCCGATAAGAGAACGGTGACCGAAACCCGTTATACTTTGGTGCCATTTCTTCAGAGAACTTATATCGTTAAAGGTTTTATGTACTTAAAACAACAACCACAACTACAAAATTAGATAACCATGTATATTTTATGGCTATGGATCTTGTGCTAATCATGACTATTATGGAAGTTCAATTATAAACATAAACCAAACCGGTGTCGCTGTGTGGTTCACAACGATAGGGCCGCAAGGGATCAGAGGATCTGGCAGCCCCATGAAGAAAGCGATAGCCTTTAGACTTATATACCGCTTTACAGTGCTTTACAGCCCTCTCGAAGTGGTTTACAGAGTTGGCGTATTGCCCCCCAACAACCTGGGTCTTTGTTTTACCAACCTTGGAAGGCTGAGTCAACCTTGAACTGGTCAGGATTGAACTGCTGAAAGTGAGCAGAATTAGACTGCAATGCTGCATTCAAAACACCGCACTACCATGGCAATAGAATAGAATAGAATAGAATTAGAATTAAAATTGAATAGAATAGAATAACCCTTAGGCTTATATACCGTTTCACAGTGCTTTCCAGCCCTCTCTAAGCGGTTTACACAGTCAGCCTCTTGCCCCCAACAGTCTGGCTCCTCATTTTACCCACTTTGGAAGGACGTAAGGCTGAGTCAACCTTGAGCCAGACAGAATCGAACAGTTGGCAGAATTAGTCTGCAATAGTGCATTCTAACCACAGTAGAGAAACCTTTGCAGGAAGCAAAGTCGTTCGCTCTGTTCAGATTAAACCTTGAAGCTCTGTGTGGACTTTGTACTTCGGTTGGTTTTTTGCAGTTCATTTGGCACTTTAGTAGTTGGCAGCAATTCAAAGGAGAGAAAGGTGGGTGCTTATCTCGAGAAACTAGGACTCATTACAGGCTGGGAATGAACGTAATTCCCAGCGTTGAAATAAAACAGTTGTTTGGACTAAGCTTATGCTTAATTATGGTCTCAGGAAGTCTGGATCAGAACAGATAACTTATATCCACACACACACACACACACACACACCTTCCATTGAAGAATAGCAGATACACGGATCTGACATCCATTGTGATTTTGCCTAATTGGTCCTTCCACTCTTCCAGAAGTTCCCCCAACATGCTTGTACAGATAGCCCCCAATTTACAACAGTTCATTTAGTGACCGTTCAAAGTTACAATGGCACTGAAAAAAGTGACTTACGACCACTGTTCACATTTAGTGACCGTTGCAGCATTCTCCCTGGTCACGTGATTTTGACATCCAGATGCTTGATATAACTGGCTCGTATTTACGACGGTTGCAGTGTCCCTGCGATCACATGACCTGCTGAGAAGCCAAAGTACAGTGGGGAAGCCAGTCTCACTTAACAACCGCATTACTCATTTAACGACTGCAGGGATTCACTTCACACACGTGGCAAGGAAAGTCGTAAAACGGGGACGCTTGACAAGTTTCTCACTTAGCAACATGAATGCTGGGCTCCATTGTGGTCGTAGGTCGAGGACTACCTGTACCTGAGCCCACCTGTTAGGCTTCCCCAGAGATCCAGTCTTCTCAGCAGCCTGTGTGCTTAGTCCGTGGCTCAGTGTATAGTCAATCTCGGGAACCTTAGCTGGACTGGTGCGCAGGGGGTTGGACTAGAAGATCTCAGAGGTCCCAATTCCGTTAGTCTGTTAATTTAATCATCCCTGGTAAACAGGAAACAGGTAAACCCTCAGGTACATGGGGAAGTCCCCAGTGTCATTCTTTTAGGGACCGCTAGAGGGCCGCACACCCTTAAAACCTCAGTCTCTGAAATCTCCTTCATTGCCACTAGGGGGTACCACTTGTCCCGTGCACAGGTATGCGGAAGAAGCAAAGAGCAGAACCCTGGCCGCCTTCCTCGCCGCTAAACGGGACCGAGCTTCCTTGTACGGAGACCTCACCTCGGGTTGATCCTGACCCCCCTTCCCCAGATAACCCCATTTGATAGTTTGGGTTGCAAAGAAAGTGCCCTTCCCCATGAATGGGGGCACGAGAAAACCCACACAAAGCCAGGAACAGGCTGGCGTCCACGCCACCAGCCTCCGTGCAAAGCGGGGGTCGTGTGAGCGCATGCTGCCCAGGGGGCACGATGCCCACTCCGCTCCAACGCATCCAGGAACAGGCTGGAGTCCACGCAAAGCGAGGAGTTGTGCGAATGCAACCCCTTCACTCCTGTGCACATTGGGGTGTGTGTGTGTGGAGCCTACTATGCTCCACGCAGCCAGGAACAGGCTGGCATCCACGCCACTAGCTTCCCCCCTCCGTGCAAAACGGGGCTCGTGTGAATGCAACCCCTCCACTCCCGTGCACGCTTTTCCTGGGTTTGTGGGGGGTGGCGCCCAACTCCGCTCCACGTAAGCCAGGAACAGACTGGCATCCACGCCACCAATTTTCTCCTCCGTGCAAAGCTCGTGTGAATGCAACCCCTCCACTCCCGTGCACGCTTCTCATGGGTTGGGGGTGGTGGTGGAGCCCACTCCGCTCCATGTAGCCAGGAAACAGGCTGGCATCCACGCCATCACCTTTCCCCCTCCGTGCAAAGCGACGGCTCGTGTGAATGCAAGCCCTCCACTCCCGTGCACGCTTCCCATGGGTTGGCGCTCACTCCGCTCCATGCAGCCAGCCGGGCCCACCTTCCTCCGCGGCTGGCCGCGCCTCCCAAGCAGCGCAGAGCCCGGACGAGCCGTGACGCCTGGCTGCCCCGCCTGCCTGGGAGGGCGGGCGGAAAGAAAGGGGGCGGCGGCCGGCCGGGAGGGTTGGCGGCGATCACGCCCCCCGGAGGGGTATATCCGAGCAGCGGGCCGCTTGGTTGGCACTAGCCGCCTCGCCTTCTTCTTCTTCTTTTTCCTCCTCCTCCTCCTCCTGCTGCAACCGCGATGTCTTCCGCCCCGCCGCCCGCGGGCTTCGTCAGCCCCTTCGCCAGACCCCGCTGCTTGGCTGCCGCAGCCCCTGCCGGCAAAGCCAAGCTGACGCACCCGGGCAAGGCGATCCTGGCAGGTGAGGATTGGCACTGCGCTCGCGACCTTTGGCGTGGCTTGCATTGGAAACAAACAAACAAACAAAAAGGTTGCGTGCATGCATGCATGCATAACATACATGCATGTCCGGGCGGGGCTCCTTTGCTGTTGCTCTCCCCCCCCGCCCCCTCCGGGCCCCGGGGTGGAACTTTTCCGCTTGCAAAATAAAATTTAAAACAACCCACGCGTGGAAACTCTTGGCTGGTGCCCCGTTTGATTGAACTCGGTGTTTTGCTGGAAAGGGGGGTGGAATCTTTCTCCCATCGTCCCCCACCCATGTAAAGTGCGGACAGAGCTCCACTTCCGCCTCCTTTCTTTCTTTCTTTCTTTCTTTCTTTCCTTCCTTCCTTCCTTCCTTCCTTCCTTCCTTCCTTCTTTCTTTCTTTCTTTCTTTCTTTCTTTCTTTCTTTCTTTCTTTCTTTCTTTCTTTCTTTCTTTCTTTCTTCCTTTCTTCCTTCCTTCCTTCCTTCCTTCCTTTTTTCTTTCTATCTATCTATCTATCTTTCTCCTTCGTTTTGCAACCGGTAGTAAGTTGCAAAAAAGAGAGAGAGAGAGAAGGAGGCGATTCAAGCAACTCCTCCCTTTCTC